TCTGTCTTTGGGAGTTCTGTCTTTGGCCTGTTGGGTCAGAAGGAAGATAATGAGGGTCGTGGGCTTTCTGATTGTGTAAAAGGGGGTTGAGGTTAAAGTTACCAAGACCTGAACACCTGGTGGGTGCTACAGTTTGACTGTCACACTGTCCCTGGGCCTTCCTGTGATAGGCTTGAGAGATCCATTCTGGACATTCTGTGGGTGTTAGGAGAGGGCAATGTGTCTCAGAGCCAAGGTTCCATCATGACGTGAAGGGTCTGGATGATCGTCTTTGAGCCTCTGTTGTGGGTGAGATGGCATGTCCTTGTTCTTCAAGAAAACTGACTCTTAAGGCACAGTTCAGCCACTTTGTGGACCCAACTCTCCTGTCTTGGGACCTCTTACCCTGGTGGTAGTTCTTGGAGTTATTTAGTATTTTTGAAAGATTTATTATTTATTTGAATGAATGTATATTCCTGAGTATGTGCATCCACGCGTGCCCATGGTGGCCAGAAGAGGTTATCAGATCCTCTGGAACTGGAGTTGCAGATGGTTTTGAAGTGTTGTGTGGGTGCTGAAAACCGAACCCTAGTCCTCTGGAAAAGCAGCCAGTGCTCCGTATCTGCTGAGCCATCTCTCTAGCCCCTGTGTGGTTATTTTTAATGGCTAAATTATTTTGTCAAACATTATTATAAATTTCTCAAAGTTCTTATTAGATGGGAGGAATTCTTTCTTCTGTCTCTTTTACTTAGTGATATCCAGAATGAAGTGAAATTTCATTCAGTATTTGAGACAGCTTCTGTTGGTCAGCGAGTGCCTTCTGTATGTTTTGGACTGGGTTTTTGTGAATGGAGGTTCTGAGTTGTGTATTACATTGCTGAGGCTTCTCCTCCTCACACCGTTTCTCCCCAGATTAGCAGTGTGTCCAGGTCCTTGGTCCCTTATGCTTTGTTTCCTTGGGAGCACGTCCATTCAGACCGGAAGTGGATCCACTAGGTCAGTTCTTTGGTTGCCTTGGCCATGGTTATGGTGACTCTTCTACCTTCTTTCTTTTCTGCCCACTGTGTCACCTTGATCACTGCTGACTGGACCTTGTTCCGTTCTGGCCTGGTGCTCCTTGCAGAACTCCATGGCTTCTCCTACTCTAAATGCTTCCACCCTCAGTTGTATACTGGTCTTGTCTGTTCCCTGATTTTATTCTCTCTTAAGTTCTTACACCTGGCTGTCTAACATCTGCAGGGGAAGCAGAAGTGGCTCCTGCTTTAAAATTACTTTCCCCCCTACAGATTCCCCCACCTCCATCACTTAATGTCTTCAAGTCTCCTGCTCCACAATAGCCTAGAATGTTCTTTTTGGGACCTCTGCTGGCAGGGCCCTGCACTGTGGGCACCCTGCTCTTCCTTGTAAAGGCTCCATGCACCTCCGAGATGCCACAGCCCACCAGGTACAGGGGTTGGTCATCTCCCGTGTTGTCTCTAGCAACAGTGCTGTGGTCTCTTGAACTCTGAACAAATGCAGACTGTCTCTGTCCCTACTGTGCTTCTCACCAGTTTATAGGTAGGAGCTGGTCATGAGGGGACACGTCTTTCTGGAAACCCAGGAACGATTCCAGCATGTTAAGGTTTTAAGGAATGATGTTTGGGAATGGTGTCTAATAGCTGCTTTCTGACCGATGTCTCCCTCAAACCATCAAACTGGAGGGAATCAGTGATTAAATCTGAGACCAAAAAAGTCCCATCATCCAGAACTCCCCAGTTCCGTTAGAAATTCTAAATAGAGAGCTAAAATAAGGCTTTCTGAAGCTCTGACCTAGTGCGCCATTTTAATTGTTTTTAAAAATTATTTTTATATATTGCTTTTGTTTTCTTGTTTTTTTGTTTTTGTTTGTTTGGGGGGGCGGTTTTGAGACAGGGTTTCTCTGTGTAGCCCTGGCTGTCCTGGAACTCACTCAGGCTGTCTCTAACTCACAAAGATCCAAAGATCCTCCTGCCTCTGCCTCTTAAGTGCTGGAATTAAAGGCATGCACCACCACACCTGGCCATTTCTATTGTTTAAAGATAGATCTTTATTGTTTTAAATTGTGTATAACACACAGGCACACACACACACACACACACTACCCATGGAGACCAGAGGTTTCAAGTCTCCCACATGTGGAGTTATAGGCATTTGTGAGCAGCTTAACATGGGTAATGGGAATTGAACTTGGGTCCTCTGCACAAGCAGTGTGCAGTCTTAACTCCGAAGCCTTCTATTTGACTTCTGTTTTTATGGTGATAGCCTGGATACAATTTGGAATTAGAATTTCTGTAAGAAAGGACAGATCGCTATTGAAAGGCAAGCGGTCTATAAAAATCAGTGAGTATGGATGGTACGGAGCTGAGATTCTCTGCTTCAAAGAGTCTTATCAATACCTTATCAATACAAATTAGTGGGGACTGTGTATCTAATCATCCTTCCCCTCAGGAAACACGGAACCTAGTCCCCAGATCCTGTTTTCCACACCTGGTGGCTTCAGTCTCAGGAAGTTGGCCTCCATTTACTGCTGGGATGCCTAGATTTGGTTGGTACAGAGAGACCTCATCTTTTGGACAGCTGCTGGTTGAGAGTCCCATTTGGAGTCCTGGTCTGAGTGGAAGAGGTGAACCTCTTTAAAATACCTCCGCATGATGTAAGGGGCATTTTTCTTAAAATAAACCCTAGGTGTAGTGAATTAATGTCACACATTCCTTCTCACCCACTGAGACATGTGATCCCATCGGGAGCTCACAGCACCTGGCAGCAGTTTTATTCCAGTGCCTTGGTTCCAGCTGTGCCCCCTTTCACTTCCCTGTCACCCAGGGCCACGCCAATCACCAATGGCAGAGAGCCTCTTTTTGTGCCTGTGCTTGGGGGCCTGTGAGCTTCAGCTCCGTGGTTACACTGTCTAACCTCTTCATATGATGTCGGCAAACCAGTGCTTCATGATCTTCAGTCTGAAGGGAGCGTTGAAGCTCCTTCAATGTCTGTGAGTTGGTTCTTGGAGTGGGTATTATCCTGTCCGTGCTGGTGGTGACACAGGTATGTCTGTGCCTACATATTCTGCACCCAGGCATGGCTAAGAGAGCCATTTTGTCCTAGCCTGTGGTCTGAGTTCACTTTCTGCCTTACGGAGGTTCAGAAATCTATGCTTTGGGTGTGACTCTCAAGCGTGTGAGCACGTAGAGAAGTTATTGTACTTGTTAAAACGTACTGGACTGGACAGACGGACCTGTGTACTAGGCAAGCACTCGGGCTCTGCATCCTGTTCTCGGAGCTGCAACTTCTTTTTATAAAAAGAACATTCTCTAGCACAGCCCTCTGTGCCCAGGCTGGTTTATCAAAGCTAAACTTTCTCTGTCAAGAACATCCTAAAGTACCTGTTTACTAGTTGTTTTGGTCCATGTGTCCAGCAGGGGCAGGCCTCTGCACTTCCTGCTTCCCTGGCCACCCAGAACCTTGGCCTAATGTGCAGGAAGCTCTCTGGTTCCCAGGTGCAGTGTCTGTTTTGCAGAAACACTCCAACATCTGTGCCTGGCTTGGCTACTTCCAAAATTAGTCCTTCCCTTGTACAGTGTGAGACACTGGAAAGACGTTACATTGTCCTCCTTGGATCTTCAAAGTCTGGAGTTCTGGGACTTTCCCTCTTAGTGACAGGTCTGTGTTTCTCATTTCCTTGAGATTCTCCTCCCCTCCCCCCCCCCAGGTGTCGGGGGCGACACTTCCTTCCCACCTGCAGGGCTTCCAGGAGAAGAGCAGAGCTTTGCGACAGTGTTTGACCATGGCTATGAGTTAGTAGCCCTCATCTGTGTGGAATAACGGGGATTCCCAGGTGTCATTGAACATTTTTTCAAATCTTGATAATACTGTTTTCTATAGAGCCAGCAGATAAAACACAGGAAGTAAGGTCCACAGTTCCTTAGTGACCCAGAGCCTGCAGTGACGGAAGGCCCCGGGGAGGGGTGGGGACAGAGACAGGCAGATGATACAGTGTCTTGGCTAGCTAGACTTGTTCCAGGTATGTGACTATTTTCCAGACCAGGACTACTTTGTTAATCAGTGACTTCATTGTGGGTCTGAGTTAGGTTGACAAAATACTAATGGATGATACAGCTGAACACTGAGTGAGTCAAACAAACAAACAAACAAACAAACAAACAAAACCGTAGTAGCCCATAGTCATGCTGGTAGCCTCTGTCTGCACACGCTGGCTGGTGTTGACCTAAACTCTTCATCTGAGAACAGCTTTATATTTTGAAAAAATGGTGAAGATGGTTCAGAGACCCTTCAGAAATCCTGTGCCTGGTTTCTTCTCTTACATGTATTTATTTATTTATTCTAGGGATGGAACTCATGATCTAGAGCAGTGGGGTGGTTCTTAACCTTCCTAACGCTGTGACCCTTTAACACCGTTCTTCATGCTGCAGTGATCCCCACCCGTGACATTATTTCATTGCTCCTTCCCAGCCGCAGTTTTGCTACTGTTCTAAATCATAACGTAAATCTCTGATATCAGGATGTCTCACATGTGGTCTGCAAAGGGGTCGTGACCCACGGGCTGAGAACTGCTGAGCTAGAGCAGGGGCTTGTGTGCTTAATCATCACGACACAGTTTGGTTTGCACTTCATTATAACACGGTGTGCTTTAAATTACACCTTGGTTATCCTGCTAAGTCACAGCTGAGGTTAGGAACAGTGTCACTCACTGTTTGCGTTCCTAGGTAGTGAGCTATCAGTTATACCCATAGGCGGTTTAGAGCCAAGAACTGAAATGAATGTGGAAGCCAGAGACTCTGGCAGGGCAACTATGCATTTCAGTCCTGGAGAGCCCCAAGACTGGGGAACCACAGAATCTGATGGTTTCTGTGGAATTGTAAACTGAAAATATTTTAGCAGTAGATGATTTTATAAAGGGCCTTATCTCTGTGTTCCAAACTGAGGTTTGTAGGAGAAACATGTGACAGTAACTGAATGGAACACCACTCTTCTCTCTTTTCTGACAGATTTGCTCAGCACAATGGGCTGCAAAAACCTGCTCAGCCTGGGCCAGCAGATGCTGCGCCGGAAGGTGGTGGACTGCAGCCGGGAGGAGAGCCGGCTGTCCCGCTGCCTCAACACCTATGACCTGGTAGCGCTTGGCGTGGGGAGCACCTTGGGCGCTGGTGTCTACGTCCTAGCCGGTGCCGTGGCCCGTGAAAATGCTGGCCCCGCCATCATCATCTCCTTCCTGATCGCCGCTCTTGCCTCGGTGCTGGCCGGCCTGTGCTACGGGGAGTTTGGTGCCCGTGTCCCCAAGACGGGCTCAGCCTACCTCTACAGCTATGTGACAGTGGGGGAGCTCTGGGCCTTCATCACTGGCTGGAACCTGATTCTCTCCTACATCATCGGTAAGTCCTCTCTCTAGTCCTCTCCAGCCTGAAGTCTTTGTCCTCTGATCCACTTGTTAGAGACACTTTGCTCTCTTCTCCCCAAAGACTGACTTAGTCTATCTTCAGGGCCCATTCCAGCTTGACCACTCTTGCCTCTCACTTTTAACAGGGATTAAAGTGGCCTTGGCAGTTCCCGATGTGACTTTTCTCATTTTGCATCTGTTCTAGTTTGCTTTCTATTGCTGTGATAAGCACCAAGACTAAAAGCAACTGGGGGAGGAGAGGATTTATTTCAGCTTACAGGTTCACTCCACCAGGGAGGGAAGCCAGGGCAAGAACCTGGAGGCAGAGACTGAAACAGGGAACATGGCAGAACATTTCTTACTGGCTTTCTCTCCTGGCCTGCTTTCTTGTGCAGCCCAGGACTGCCAACACTGGGGTGGCCGGCACCCACAGTCAGCTCAGCCCTCCCACATCAACCATTAATCAAGGAAATGCCCCCACAGACTTGCTTACCAGTCATCCTGGTAGAGATGACCTTCGGTTAAGGTTCCCTCCTCCCAGGTGACTCTAACTTGGGTGAAGTTGAGAAAAATTTAGCCAACATGGCACCTGTGAGAAGGACCAAGCTGGGCCAACTGTGACCATTCTTATTAACTCAATGGATACATGGCTGTTAGGATAATTCTAATTTTAAGGAGTGGTTTTCATTTCTGTTAATGCGTTCCTACCCTGTCTTAGTTAGGGTTTTACTGCTGTGAACAGACCCCATGGCCAAGGCAACTCTTATAAGGACAACATTTAGTTGAGACTGGCTTACAGGTTCAGAGGTTCAGTCCATTATCATCAAGGTGGGAACATGACAGCATCCAGGCAGCCATGGTGCAGGAGGAGCTGAGAGTTCTAGATCTTCATCTGAAGGCTGCTAGGAGAAGACTGACTTCCAGACAGCTAGGATGAGGGTCTTAAGCCCACACCCACAGTGACACACCTACTCCAACAAGGCCACACCTTCTAATGGTACCACTCCTTGGTTTAAACATATTTAAACTATCACACACATTTTATTACAGTAAACATATCACATGATAGATGACACTTTGGGAAACACAGAAAAACACAGAGGGAGGAGAAACACCCAACCTTATAACTAACAGAAATAGTATTTACCAAATTTTGGGCTAGCCATTTTACTGGAGATGTGTGACATTGTCTGAACAGTTAGGGATGTCTTGTCATTAACAGGGTTGGGTAGAGATGCAGGGGGATTGAGCTCAGGGCTTTGCATGTATGTCCTTCCACTGAGTCATTCTCACAACCCCTGAGTATATAGATTTTTGATCTTTTTATAGCCCAAAATATCATGGTGGCTTCTCCATAGTAATATTGCTACTGACTATATTGCATATATAGGTTTATAAATACAGGATTTTTTTAAAGATTTATTTTATTTGTATGAATATACTGTAGCTATCTTCAGACACACCAGAAGAGGGCATCAGATCTCATTACAGATGGTTGTGAGCCACCATGTGGTTGCTGGGAATTGAACTCAGGACCTCTGGAAGAGCACCCGTTGCTCTTAACCTCTGAGCCAGCTCTCCAGCCCCCATAAATACAGGGTAACTGCATGTCCTTCTGCACTGTTGGGATCATAGATGTTGTCTTCCTAAAGTATTACTTTGTGTAATTGTAGGTCAGAGCTACACATTTTTCCCCCTGAAACTACTTCAGAGGCAGGATGTCCAGGTCAAAATTCCTGCCTGTTTTAAAACCATTGTTCACTCTGGTCCTCCATCCCACCCAGCCTTCCTTCATGGACTTCACTGAACACTCGCATTAAACACAACCACCTATGAAATCTAAGCCCACTCCCACAAGGAAATGTGGACATGGTTCTATGAGCCACCTTCAGGGACTTCTGGGTCCTGTCCGTCTCATGCCTGCATGGAAGATGTCATAACCACCTCCTCAGGCTAGCAGGCAGGGACAGAGACTGATGCTCAGAGGTCCAGTAGGCAGGCGGCTTCTCTCTTTTAGCAACCATGGCGTCTGGGAGTCAGCAGAGCTTGTTCTAATGGTTCTAATGTAAAATTCATAACAACCATTCTTTCCTGTTCAGCCTGCAGATTTGTGACCACAGATGACTCACGTACCAAAGCTTCTCAGTGGGGATGTAGCTTTTGTAAATGGGCTGTTACGTTTCCAGTGGGTTTACCTAGGCGTAAAATATAGTGAGCTTGAACTGTTGCGTTGGCTGCTGTTAGACCAACAAAATAATAGCCTTTCCTGGAGTGCTGCGTGCCTGTGTAAGACGCACGGAATCGATCTGGAAACCTACACTCAGCCTTTGCTACTGAGGGAGGAGAGTTTTTCAGTTTTAAACATATGTCTATGCTTATGCATTTTTAAAAAGCCGTTTCTGAAATGGGAACAGGGTGGCCTGGGAAGAAAGGCTGGGGTATCCAGCAGGGTGGGGCTTGGAATGTCACTGCAGTAAGCTGGCTTCTTGAAGCATGCAGGGCAGGCAGGCAGGCAGGCAGGCAGGCAGACAGACAGGCCATTTTTCTTCATTAGGCTTGTGGTCTTCCTGGACAAAATTTCTAATAGCTGGATGAAAAATGAGGTGAAATGTCTAAGTTGTCAGGAAAACACTTAGCATGAGAGCAAATAATGAAATTGAATCCTTGTGTGGATCCCTCTGACGTTCTTTGGAGAATTCAGACCACGGTCATAGACAAGGCTGTCTGAAACGAAAGGAAAATGCCAGATGCAAATATTGAATCTCCAGTGTCATTTCCTGACAAACTGCACTGGAGAGGCAGCGAGTGTCTTCAGAACGGAAGGAGAAAGGGAGGGTGAGGGTGGCCAGTACAGTCAGTGGCTGGCGAAAGCCCCGTCTTGTGTTCTGTGTAACTGGGGGATTTAGGATTGGTGCAGGGTGGGGAGGTGGGGCCTTCATTGCAGACCTGCACCCTGAGGATGCCATGGCTTCTGGGTACAAAGTGGCAAGCTAGCTGATCAGGGTTCGGTGGTAGGCTTGGCCCTGAGATGGGGTCAGTCCATTTATAGATTACCTTTGAGATGAGTTCTGAAGGTATGGATACCGTTTTCCCTGTGCCAAGGGTTCATGGGAGAATGGCACTTCCCAAGCAGTGTTTCCGGATTGACCAGTTAGTTACCCATTGCAGGAATGCGTTCTGAAGTCAGGTTCCTGACTTGTCATTTGAGTGACTCGAATGATTAGATCTGACTAAAGGCATCAGAAGGCATCAGTTCATAAGGGCAGTTATCTATTTTTAAGTTTTTTTATTGTGATAACACACAATACATGTGTGTCTGTGTACATTTATGATCATACACGTATGTTGTATTTTAAGTGCACACACAGATGCTTCCCAAACTTCTCAGAGTTACATACTAATAAATACCTCGTAGAACAAAATATCAAAACGAATGGGGTGGGTGGTGCACACCTGTGATCTTAGTCCTTGGAAATCAAAGACAGGAGGATGGCAAGTTTGAGGCCAGGCCAGGCTGTATGCCAAGACCCCATCCCAGAAATCCACACCTGCTCCCTTCCCCACTGCGACCCTACCCCCGCCCTTGAAAATACAAAAGCAATTAAAATATGGGCAGTCCAAAGTGCAGGCGGATCTACCACAGCCTCAAATGCCCTAGTTCAGGAGCAAGACAGAGTCTCCCTCATGGTCACAGGCTGGGCTGACGGGTCGGTCATTGATGCCCTCCATTATCACTACAGAGGACCAAATCAAATATTACTAGACCCTGAAAAGATAAACGTTCAAAGTGCTACTATTTCTACTGAGTGCATATTGCCATTGCTACTAACAGAGTTGAAAAACCTTAAGTTTCAATTTGTGGTCAGGATTTACTCTTCTATACCAGTGTAACAACACACACACACACACACACACACACACACACACACACACACACACTCTAGATCTTGGTTGAGTATAAAATGTACTTCTCTCCAAACTCTAGAAGCCCCAGGGAGCCTTTGGCTTCACCCCATACGCTGTCGAGCCACCCCTTCGAGCCACCCCTTCTGTTCATAGAATAGATTGTGGTTCAGCTGCTACTGCAAGATGACAGCATGCTGTCCGTGACGCTGCAGGGGTGCTGTAACATCCAGGGTGGCAGGGACCGTCTGTTAACTGCCGATCTCTAATTGTCACCATGTGTTTTGTGGCAGGTACTTCAAGCGTGGCAAGAGCCTGGAGTGCCACTTTTGATGAGCTGATAGGCAAACCCATTGGCGAGTTCTCACGTCAACACATGGCCCTGAATGCCCCTGGGGTGCTAGCCCAAACCCCAGACATATTTGCTGTGATTATAATCATCATCTTAACAGGTAAAGCCTCATTTTGACGCAAATGCTGTGCTGGGGCCAATGGGTAAAACTCCTGTTGGGAGCTTACATTTTATCTCTTTCTTTGTTCATTTATTGGAGGTACTAGGGATGGAGCCCAGAGTCTCACCATGCCTGCCTGGCCAGTGCTTTTACTACCAAGCAAACTCCCATCTGCTTTTGCTTTCTGGTCTCTTTGGTGCCTCCCCCCATTTCTTTGGTTTCTTTTATAAATACGTAGACAATTTTAACTTCTCCCTGCCCCAGTGGTTACTTCCAGATCATGCCAGGGGTGGCTGGTGTAATAGGTACTGAGGTCTTTGATGTTTGGTTCAAAGAGAGAGTCTCAGATGTCAGTATATCTCATGTTCTTGGAGTGAGGTTTTGTAGTACTGATTGCCCTTTGACCTTTCGACTCAGTGGATGGCCATAGACATTTGTCTGCCAGGCAGTTGTGGAGCAGTGAGCACCCCTCTAGAAGAGGAATGAAAACCTGGGGCTTCTTGGGCATCTTGGGTGGTTTTACTTACACGTCACAGCCACAGGAACACCCTTTCAATACATAAGTGGCAGAGTTTGAAAATCCCAGGTCCCGCAGGACCCAGCCAATGGTAGCTTCTCTTTAGCGGCATTGATCTGTGTCTCTGATGCTCAGGAGGGCATCTTTCTCCACAGAGCATTTACCAGACACACATGAAACTTCAACACAGGTAGTTCTCATCAAACATTAGAAGTCAGAAAGTCTTGGATGAACCTTGAAAGCCGCACACCCCTATTTTTCTGTGTGATTGAAGTCATCCCGCTGGGGCCAGACTTGGCAGTATTTTTGGTCCTGCTAGCAGAAACCTGTATCAGGAAATAAGTTCATACAACTGTGATTAGGTTTTTATTTTCATAAACATGAGCAGAAGGGACACTCAAGTAAACAATACTTTGGAACATAGTGGCATCTTAGCCACTGGTTAATCATTCAGCATCTCATAATTTACCTGGTATGTGCAGTGTTCTTTTGTTTATAGATCTGTAGAAGTTGCCCACGAGAATGCTGTATTCTCCACCTATACTGGTTCCTGGGTCACACTACGCCCCCTTTCAGGTCCATCATGATTTAGCCACATGTTAACCTTCTTTCCGTCACTGTAACAAATGCCTGGATTCACGTAGTATCAAGAAAAACTGTTTATTTAGGCTCACAGTATTTGAGGCTTTTTGCCCTGTTACTTTGGGCCCGTGGGCTGGCAGTGTATTGTGATGCGAACATGAGTCTGTGCCAAACTGTTCATTCATGGCTGGAAAGAGAAGGAAAAGAAAGGACCCGGTCCTGGCCGACAGTTCCTCTCAAGGGCCGCCCCAGTGACCTATAAAGACCTGAAAGCGCTTTGCCTCCCTATAGCACCACCTAGTGGAATAAACCTTACGACATGAGTGTCACCTCCCACCCTCCCTCCCCGTGTGTATATGTGTGTGTGTGTGTGTGTGTGTGTTCGTATGTGCATTGTGTGGCAGAGGCACTTAAATTCCAAACTGTGTGGGAGTCTCAAGACTGGGAGTGGGAGAATGCTTTTTGGGGTTCCCATTTCCTGTCACTTGATCCGATTTCTTTTGTTGTTGTTGTTTTTTGTTTTGTTTTTAATGTGAGTTTACCAGCTAGAACTGGTCAAACTTAGATATTCTTTATACACACTAAGTTTGCGGAGGCACCGTGTGTGCTAGCATTTCCTAGAACACAAATAATCGATCCTAGCAACATGACAGATATCTCGAAGTAAACCCAAACCATTCCCTCACCCCAAACCTCTCATCCTACCATGACACTGAGCCACGTGACATGTCCTCAGAGAGAATCATCTCTTTTTTAACTTCCCTGTAATATCTTTCCCCTACTTGGTGTGTGGCTCAAGGCTCTGTGCATCCTCAACCAAGGGCTTGCACTTTGTGGAAAACTGACTGCCGGTCTCGAAGTCTACCGGCCTTCAGTACACTACAGTGGCACCTTCTGATCCCTAGGAATCCAGGATGTGAGCTCCCCCACTCTCTGTGGTTGCCTTGATTTTTGCTCTAGAGTCATTTCGGCCATGCTCCCTGAGGTTCACAGAGGACTTTGGAGGTCCCATGCCCATTGGTTTCTCTCTCCCCTCCACCTTTTGTCCCCTGCCCCTGAATGAACTAAACTGGTATATGGCTAAGCCTTTTACATGACTTTCTGTTTGTGCCTTTTCTTAGGACTGTTAACTCTTGGCGTGAAAGAGTCAGCCATGGTCAACAAAATTTTCACCTGTATTAACGTCCTGGTCTTGTGCTTCATCATGGTGTCGGGGTTTGTGAAAGGCTCTATTGAAAACTGGCAGCTCACGGAGAAAGATTTCTTGAATAAATCCAGCCCTCTCTGTAGGAACAAGTGAGTTTGTTTGTGTGTCCCGTTGGCATGTGACAGTTCTCCGTATTTGCTGTTGTAGCTCACAGATAGATATTGGGTGATACAGTTCATAGGATAACACACAGCTTTAAATATCACATGCTTTTAATTTATTTTGTAAAAGGTGTGCACCACCTCATTCTCCTGCAGCATCTTCAATGTGTTCTAATTATTCAGGAAACAAAGGCAAATCATTGTGATGTCATTTTAATCTTCTTGGTAAGATTTTCAGGTGAATCTTGGTGTCCCAGGACACACGAGATGCAAGTTGTCCATGAGTCTATCCTCATTGAGGCTAATGCTCGGATCTCTGTGACGAAGGGATCTTTGTAAGACACCATGGCTTTTTTATGGTGGCGCTGACCACTTTGGAATCCCAGGTGTCTTCCTTTTGTTCTGTCCTGCCTGATGACAACTTTTGTCGGCCTCTTGTCTGGCTACTGCTGGACTAGGTGTGGGGGCACACCCCAGTTTTTCCAGAGTGGGAAATAGAATAAGGGACAGGGTGACCCCAGGGTGTCTGAAGATTGGCCTGGAAAACCTCTGCCACATCCCCACCCAGGCTTGGCCACGCCCCTCTACCTCCATCTTCATTCTTTTTACCAGAGTCCAGTGAATAGCCACGTATACCTACAAGGGAAGTGGAGAAGAGTTGTCCTATGCTAGGGATCTGGGCAAACCACATTTGTCATTGGCGACAGATGCTGAACCTGTCCTATCACTACAATGGAAATGGGAAAATATTGAATTAGATATACAAAACTTCACAAATACTGCTATCCTAGAATCATAAGTTCAAAGGAAAGTATCATTTCCTTTCCTAAATTCTACCATGGAGAAATAAGGACATTTGCTGGCTCATTCTCAAACATTTTGGAGTTAGTTATATTTATGTCAAATGTATTAGTCTCCATGAGTTTAAGGTGGAGTGGAGCCAACTCCAAGTGCATTTTGAAGTTCCACCGTAGGCTTTGGAAACTTGAGAGAGCACATTTCATTGGTTGCTATTTACAGGCAGGAGTGAGGCACAGAGGTCCCTCTTGTTTCCTGGTGGTCAGCTGAGATTTAATTTTGTTATTACAGATTCAGCTGAGATTTAATTTTGTTATTACAGATTGCCTGGGCCAACAACAGTAATTCCCCAGTCATCCCGCATTGGCTGCCTTAAGGGTTGGTTTATACAGCACTGGTCTCCTAGACAAGGTGACATTTGTTGCCCAGGTGGGGTCTTAAAGTCCATCTGAAGACCAGAGACACTTCTGCTGGGCCACAAGGGAATCTGCCACTTTAAGAGCAAAGTTCTGCCGGCCTGGAGCCTAGCTGGCTCTTTCGTTTTCGAAAGTCTATAAAGGGCTTTATTTTATTTATTCATTCCCCCTCTCCCAGCTATAGAGTTCTATTTCTACCAATAGCCCTGTGTACGTATGTATGAAGTTGCTTGTCCGTCAGTAACGAGCCCACACTGTCCTCCCTGACCTCATCCCTCAGAGGACCTCTGGTGATCGTGCTAGGGGATGTTGTCCTGATTGCTTCTCTGTGGCTGTGGTAAAACACTGACTAAAGCAACCCAGCGAGGAAAGGATTTGTTTGGTTTACACTTCCAGGTCACAGTTCATCATTGATGGAAGTCAGGGCAGGAACTTAAGGCAGGAACATGGAGGCCTGACAGCACATGTGGGGGTGGGGGTGGGTCTGAGAAGTGTGGTGGGGTCTCTGTGGACCGGTTTAACCTTGCTCTTGGGTTTGGCACCCATTCTCCTTTGGGTGAAGGCTGTGTGAGACTCTTGTCGGATCAAAGCATCCCTCTTCAGCAAACCTTCCAAAGCTTCTGTTTCTGGCCATTTATCTGCACATGACTAGCCCTTTGCTGTCTTCTGGGCGTCCAGTCTTCTCCACCCTCATTTAAATAACTGGACTCTGCTCGTCTTTGTAAGCACAGGCTCTCACTCTACAGGGGCTCCTGCCTGATGCTTCTTCAAAGCAAACCTACAAGTGTCGACACCAACACTTTTGCCTGCGGCTGTATCCCTCTCATATATATGGGTGCTTAAGGACTATAAACAGTCTGCTTCTGTAATACCTGAACTTGTTTAGAAATACCTGTTTATAGACTCAAGCTCCTGGTGCATACATAGCCTGGGGAGGAGGGTGGAAGAGACCCTTCCCACCTGTGTGCTGTGTCCCCTCAGACTCCTTCCCCTCCTTACCATTCTCTACATAGAAAATGCTTCTGGAAGGGTTAATAGTGAGTGCCACTGGGGCTCTGGGCACTGGAGCAGAGAGGCCTGCCACCCGCTGAGTGTCCTTACTGGAAAACTAGGGTCTATGGCCAAAGGGACTGAATTGCTGTTCTTCTCTTCAGAGCAGCACTGTCCCCAAAAATGGAACCGTGCAGCAGGTGTTCTAATGTTTGCTGTTTTGTTTTTGTTTCTCCTAGCGACACAAATGTGAAACACGGTGAGGGAGGGTTCATGCCCTTTGGATTCTCCGGTGTTCTGTCAGGGGCAGCGACCTGCTTTTATGCCTTTGTGGGCTTTGACTGCATCGCCACCACAGGTCTGTGGGCTCTCGCACCCGTGGGGCCCTCCCTCCTCCTTTGCAACCACTAACAGTAATGCCTTTTTCTCTTGGCACATGCCACTTGCTGCTCTGGTTCTGTGGGAGTAACTGCAGAGATTTGTCACTTCCTGCTGATCTGATCGCTTCTCACCTCCCCACATCCCCTAGGAGCAGTGCCTGACAGGAAATTACATCATTAGCATAACCAGGGCTCTGTCCCTAGACTGGGACAATGACAGTGTGGCTGTAGCCTGATTTCATATCTGCACGTGCAGGCCTTTATGATAACAACAGCCGGGCAGGTTGGCTAGGTCAGGCTTCCTTAAGCCTCTCAGCCTTTCTCAGCCAAAGGAAACAAGCCTCTCCCTCAGCTGAACCGTGATAGGAAGGTCGGGAACACCCTCCTGGGCTGTGGTTGTGTGGTGGGTGTTACCAAGGGCCCTGTTCTGTCACGGGGAGGGCAGAAGGCCCAGGTTCCTGCTGACTGAACCCTGTGGGGCCTGTGCTTTGGCGTGACTGTGCAGAGGATGTGATTCTGCCCCTCTTTCCCTCATTGGCTGACACCCTAATGCTTCTAGGAGAAGAAGTCAAGAACCCCCAGAAGGCCATTCCTGTGGGCATCGTGGCGTCCCTCCTTATTTGCTTCATAGCTTACTTTGGGGTGTCCGCCGCTCTCACCCTCATGATGCCCTACTTCTGCCTGGACATCGACAGCCCGCTGCCCGGTGCCTTCAAGCATAGGGGCTGGGAAGAAGCTAAGTATGCAGTGGCCGTTGGCTCCCTCTGCGCACTCTCCACCAGGTGAGTTCAGCTTCCCGAGCGCTCTCAACCCCAGCACCCGAATGCCAAGGGTGTGTCTCATTGTGTTTTAGCCCAGCACCTCAACACCAGTGGAATGTCACACGACTGTGTTGTGTTAGAAAAGGTGTTCTCTTCTATCCATGGGGAGCTTCACTCTGAGACCTCCAGTAGATGACTGAAGCAACAGACCTATATGCACAAACCCTATATACACAGTATTCCCTTTTACACACACACACATGCACACACACACACACACACACTCGTGATAAAGTTTAATATATAACATTTGGCAAAGTAAGATTGCTACCAATAGCTAAGGGTACGATGGAGGCACTATTATGTACATTTAAATTTTATTTATTTATTTTATGTGTATGAGTGCTCTGTCTGCATGTATACCTGCTTGCCAGAAGAGGGCATCAGATCCCAGTGTAGATGGTTGTGAGCCACCCCATGGTTGCTGGGAATTGAACTTGGGAACCTATGGTAGAGCAGCCAGTGCTCTTAACCACTGAGCCATCATTTCAGCCCATGTACTGACATTTTAAAAGGTAGAATGATCAGTTGCTTATTTCTGGAATTTTCCATCTAATATTTTCATAGTGTAGGTGACACGAGTTACCAACTGCAGAGTGTGAGAGTAGGTATGGGAAACCACCACGCTTGTGTAGGGCTGGAGCCAATGTCTGTACATGATGCTTGGCAAGGAAACGGTTTTCTGCTCCTGAGTTTGGCCTCTGAACCAGGCCCCCTCTTTGATCACTGTATTTCTTGGCCTTTAGTTTGGCTGTAAGGTGGGAGCTCCTTTGCATAAAGGAGTGGGTGCCTTTTAATGAGATGCCCCACCTACCCCCACACCAACCCTGTGCTTCCCTGCCAGCTTGTGTAAACAGGAGCTAATGAAGGCCTCAGCTAGGAATAATTGCAGACACAAATGCAAAACCTCCCTTCTGGAGTTGCTCCTGGATCACATCTCTTTTATGTCAGGCGCCCCTGTTCTTATCACTGGTCTTACCCCTGTAATGTTAACTTTGTGAAGTGCTGAGCCCTAGTGTCCCGAGTGCCAAGCAGTATGGAAGGGGCTGATCCTGGCGGGCCCCGTGCATGGGTCGTCAGAGGCCCTGTTTGCCAATGACTTTGTTTTTGTCTGTCTCACCCAGTCTCCTAGGCTCCATGTTTCCCATGCCCCGAGTTATCTATGCCATGGCTGAAGATGGACTACTGTTTAAATTTTTGGCCAAAATTAACGAGAGGACCAAAACACCAGTAATCGCTACTGTGACCTCAGGCGCCATTGCCGGTAAGTGTTGTAATTAATTTACAGTGTGTTACTTGAACAACTAAATCAGCGTTCCCAGGGGAGCAAAACCGTGAACTGTGAAAAGCTGCCATTCGTCCATTAAAGGTTTTCAAACTGCTGTTTTTCATACTCAGAACTGGGTTCATTAAAAGATAGCTGCATTAATTTTTTAAAAAGATTTATTTCATGTGTAAAAATGCAGGTGTTTGACCCTGCATGTATGTGTGCACACCAAGTGTTTGCCTGGTACCTATGGAGACCAGAAGAGGGAGCCAGGTTTCCCAGAAGTAGAGTTACAGATAGTGTGAGCCAACACGTGGAGGTTAGTAACTGAGCTCCAGCCCCTGTAAGAGTAGCCAGTGTTCTTAACTGCTGAGTCGTCTCTCCTTCTCGATACCTATACCTTGATAAAAGACAAAGAAACCAGGTTTACAGAGGATCAGATGGAAAAAAACACCTCTTCAAAGCCACCCACCTTCCCTGCCCATTGAATGTTTCCCTGTGTAGAGTTTGGTAGCTGACCAAGGAGACTTTGGGTAATATCCGCAAAGTCCGGTGTCTATGTATCTTAGCTCTTAGATCCCTGGAAAAATGAATGTCCCTCAGTCAATTGAAAAAAACAAAAAAACAAAAACCGTATACCATCTCTTTCCTGGGGGCATATTTAGATGTTCTTGTTTGCCCTCAGATAGTGGTAGACCCAGAGCTAAGGAAGTTTTCTTATACGATCATGTTTCTCCCCAAGAGGACAGCTGTGTTGGATGAACTTGGTTTGTAAACCAAAGGACCCCATGACAGTACCGGAGACCTGAGAGGAAGCTGGGGTGCACACTGCCATTTGTTTTGTGTTTTGTGGTCTGTTATTTTTTCCCTTCACGACTGAGGTTAGAGCCAGCTGGAGAAGTAGAGACCCGGAGAGTCCCAGGCTCGCACCCAGGGAGGCAGAGCCGCTCTGGATCCATTAGTGTTTCTGCCAGAGGCATTTCCTCGCAGAATCGACTAACACCAGGGGTCTTGTTTGATCCATCTGGACACATGGTACTATACAACTTGTATCTCAGTGATTTTTTGAATGGCCACTAGTAAGAAGATGGGCCATCTTAAATGAACAAATTATTTACTAATTTTATTAGTATTTTTGCTTATTAAAGTTTTTGTTTTGTGACTATTATACTAAAAGAAAAAAAAAAAACAAGTTTCAAATTATTTAGCAATATTTCTGCCTGTAATGAGTGATTCTAGCAGTGAGGTTACAATGTGACCAGTAGAATTCAATCACTGAGGGATTTCTTCAGTGTTTCCACATAATTTGATTTAGTTTCCTTCCCATGCCCACAAAAGGAGGTCAAATCATAATCTTTCAAGTGTCTATAAAGTACATGTCACTCAAACCAAGTATTTGGTTTATTTTCCCCCTTTGGTGGGATTAGTAGTTGATATTCTAAGATCATCTCCTGGAAGCAGTTTGTCTGGGTTTCTCTGCGAGCAGGGATGGAGGACGGAGCAGGGATGTGTGGTTGGAAGGTGTTCCAGTTATCTGGAAGGCCCTCGCTGCTCTCCAACCATATTAGTTATCGATTTAAATCTGTTTGGCTTGCATTGATCCGGTGGGGCTGCAGAGACGCCTGTGATCACGCTTTTAATTTGTATTGATTTCCATGTGATTTGAAAATGTCCCAGAGTAGATCTTGCCAAATTATTTTTTAAATGGGAAAATTGGTATTATACTGACATAAATAGGCAGCACAGGGGATTTTTAAACAAACACACGTTTATCGTACCACCGGGGATTGAACCCAGATCTTGCATATAGTAAGCCAGTGCTCTACCACTGTCCTGGACCTCCCAAGCACATGTGTTGAATTCTTCTAAAACCCAAAATTGGGTGGCAGGATGGGAAGGTTGGTTTGGTGATAGGGATGTCACCATTTAGGAATAACTTTGAACTTTGCATATGTGAGGAACAATCTTTTCTTACTTGACTATCTAGACTAGGGGCCCCTGTCACTCTTATCTCCAGATAGAGATGTCTTTAGACAATACTCTAGAAGTCCAGACACTGTGGCCCATCTGCTTCAAGGATGGGTACCTAGAACTTAGTGACTGACACACTCTCAATCAGTGCTGCCTGGCTGGATGTATGATGGATGGAGGAGGGATAGGTGGATGGAGGAGGGATGGGTGGGTGGAGGAGG